TCCTACCCTCCAGTCGTGAATAAGAAAGAGCCCGGGCAATAAGGAAAAGACTGCTGAAATCTGTTTTGAAGGGAAAGTGTTAAACCATTAATCAGTGGTTTATAGAGAGCCTCCCTTTGCACGAAGGAAAAGAGTGCTAAAACTTGTCTTCAGGATAATGCCAAAAACCAACCTGCCATCAACGTCGTCAGAGGAGGAAAACCATTCTTATCCATCGTATGAGAGTACTTTGAAAGTCACTTTGAAGTTCTATGGGACTCTTCATCCAGGCCTTTATCAAGTACATTGACGCTTCTATCAAGTACATTGACACTTCAGCCTCTGAGATTTGGGAACTCAATTCTGTGGGAGAGTTAAACCAGACTTCTTTCGAGAGCACTGCCGGGTCTGATGCCATCGGTATGGAACTCAATTCTATGGGACAGCTATACCAGACTCTTATCGGGAGTACTACAGATTCAGGTGGCAACTATGTGGATCTCAATTTTATGGAACATTTAAACCAGACCTCTTTCGAGAGTACCGCTGTTTCAGATGCTGTCTATGTAGATCTCAATTATCCGTGACAGGCAAATTCAGGCTTTGAAGACAGCACTGCCGGTCTTGCTCCTGCGTCTGTGAAACTTAAATCTGGGGGGAAAGCCCGCTTGCTTTCCCTCTCTTTTTAGGGACTTCTACCCTCGCCAAGGAGAAAGAACCTAGTGCATCACCCAGTAAAAGACAGCGAAAAATGTTTCTGAAGCTTGCAAACGACGCCGTCAGAGAAGGACTTTTTATCTATCGTATGGGAGTACGTTGTAAGTCACGTCTATGAGAGTCATCAACCAGGCCTTTATCGAGGGCAGTGACGCTTCAGCTTCTGAGATTTGGGAACTCAGTTCTGTGAGACCATTAAACCAGACTTCTATCTTAAAGCACTGCAGCCTTTTCAGATGCCGACTATGTAGATCTTAATGTTTCGATACAGGTAAAGCAGGCATTTGAAGACAACACTGCTGGTTTAGCTCCTGCTTCTATGAAACTCAATCTTTGGGAACTTTTATCTAAATATGATCAGTCTATCTTAATTCTTCCCTGAAAAACGCGTAGGCCTGTACATTACCTTCAGTGTCCGAGATAAAATGTGGGGCAGCGTGGTGGAATCTGGCTCTCGTCAAAGTAATCAAAGTGGAGAAACTTGCATTTTTCCGCAGGTTTGTGAATTTTTATCAAAATTTTTTTTGGGCTCAACACCTTTCATGCTCATTAAAAAACTCATTTCTATGTGGATTTTTCTTTAAAATGTTGATTAAAACCACAAAAAATGTTAATTTTCAGTTACCACGGACTCTTAAGCTAAGGAAATAACCAACCTTTGGCCGCCATTTTCTGACTAATTTTACCTCTGAAAACAGGTGACCCCACCTCCTTCATTCGCATACATCTCGACTTGTACTCAAGATAAATGGATATTTAAAAAAAAAAATGAAATAAAGACAAATGAACAAGCTTTAAGACGACACCAATAACTCTACTCGCCCAAAAATTGACGAGAGCCTGATTCCACCACGCTGCCTCACAAATGGATAAGCCCTTCACCTTTCCAGCAAAAGACGTGAGACGAATTTGTACGCCTTACTAGAGGACGTAAAAACATTACCTCCATCATCCAATAGGCACAGATAAAATAAAGCACTATTCAGTATCTAGGGATCTGGGGGGAATGTTCTTTATATCTGACCTGAGACAGAAAGCAAACTCCGTTTAGAAGCCAAGATTACTTTATTTTTCTGCCTCATTTTTAGGATCTTTGATGTCATAGAACGATAGCCTTGTACAATAGCAGTGTGTGTGTGTGTGTGTGTGTGTGTGTGTGTGTGTGTGTGTGTGTGTGTGTGTGTGTGTGTGTGTGT